GCAGGTTTTTCAACCAGCATTTATGTAATACTTCATGGTTCACATAGTGCATCCACATACATCATTGCACTCAACAGTTCTGTGAACTGAGTAAGTTATTGATTAGTTTCATCCCCTTGCCGTAGATGAAGGTGGCAGGGATCAGCAAGGACTAGTCGCACGTGGTTAAATAGCCACAAAATTAAGACATAATCCTGGACCTTTTGGATCTCAGTCCACTGTGTCTTTTCCTGTATGACAACCACGCCACACTGACTCTTGAGCAGGTCGATGCAAATAGTGCACACAGCTAGAGATGGGCAAAGCATAACACACAGAACTGTGGCTGAATTTCCAACCACAGCAACCAATCAGGGCAGGAGCTACCACAGCTTCTTGACAAAGGAGGAGGAAGGATGGCATCCCTCACTCCACGAGAAATGACTCATCAGCAGAGAGGGACCCTCTCCCATTGAGAAGTAGAGACGGGTCCTTGAAGCTGACCCACTCCCCGCCTTCCAAAGTCTTAGGAATCAATGTTTTACCGTTCAGTTTGGCCACTGACCCCCAGAGCCTCATAAATATTTGTAAATATTATTTTTGAATCATAATATATTCAGAGGGTTTAAAAACACTTTTTAAATAAAAAGTAAACAAACCTCAATATGACTCCTGTCCCCCTTCTGCCTTGCTCTCATCTTCAACCCCCACCACCAATTTCTGTTTATCCCTCTAGAATTTATACAAAGAGAAGCAAACATGAATATGTACTTGATCCCCTCCCACCTTCTTTCTACAGAAAATGTAGGATAGTATTGTTATGCAGTTTCGGGGAGTGAATCCTTTCTCTCCACCGCCTCAGGCCTCCACAGCCAGCAAGCCCAAGGCCAGGCAGATGACAGGCGATCAATAAGCGCTTGCTGGAAGGGAAAGGCCAGATGGAACGGACAAATCGATCTCTGGGGACAGTCCAGGGTGTGTAAGGCAAGTTCCTGATGACTATATCTGTGCACACGTGTCAGGAACAGAGCAGTCCCACCGGCTCAGGGTGCACAGGGTCTGAGGAGGAAGTGAGTTCTGGCACCTTCTCCTGGTGAAGCGCAGAGCTAAAGGTCAGACACTTCCAGGAGTGGCGACGGCCTCACCCTGGACCACGTCCTCGGTGGGCAACCCCAGCACCTCTGTCTTCTGAGTCACCAAAGAAACAGCACCCACAGGACAAGGGGTGCAGAGGACTTGGTTGAATTGTTAAAGAAAACAAAGATGTTCACAGAGATTTTAAGCACAGAGATGGAAGAAGCTCCTCTTTCAACCGCCCCAGCCTCACACTGCTTTGCAAATCACCCTAAAATGACGGGATTATTCTGCCCCATCTGAACCACGACATGACGGGGCTTCTGGGGAAACGCTTGTCAATGGGCCCGGGCTCCATGAAAGGCAGCTCCGGGCCAGAGGCTGAGGAAGGCCTTCCTCAGGACAGCACTGGCTCCAGTTTGCAGATGGTGCAAAATCTCTGACAGGGAAGGGGTGTGCACACGGCCAAGAAAGTGGACTAATATTTTTGGGAAGTTTTAATTTGCTTCAATTAAAAATTCAGGCCAGCTCCGAGTAAAACAGAAGTAGGTGAACTTGTTTTTTGTGCCTCTGCACAGTCCTTTCTGGGCCCCTCCACGCTTCTGCAGGCCTGTCACCAAGGGACCACCACCCCACCCAGCATCTCCCAACTGGCCAGTTCCAAGATTCACACCATTTCCTCCCCACTCTCCCACTGCCAGACCAGACCAGGGTCCTACTGGGGAGGGGAGAGAAAGAGAAACCATCCGGTCTGGGGCCTCAGCGCCAGCCTTCCAGGTCTGGGTCACATCTATACGCCGAGGGCTCTTTTCTTGAGCTAATTGGCTCTGCATCCTATGATCAAAGGAGGGTGGGAAACACTTGGACGATCAGATGCTGTGAACAATGCACGAACCATAGTGAGGGCTCACTAAGCCCTAGCTGTTGGATGATTACCTTCATCATTACTTAGAGGGGTTCCTCTATAAATGTTCAAGGGAGCTTTAAATACTGGCCCCACCACCCCCTCCCTGCCGTCCTGGCCCAGAGAAGGTAGCTGCTTTCACGGGGCTAGTTTACGAGCCACTGGGGAACCCCTCCTGCCCTGACACAAGCTCTAATGGGCTCTGTGGTACGACCTGGGTCCTATTCTCTGTCAAGTGAAGAAATAAATAAATTCATCCATTCAGTGTATTTATGAATGAATATGTAATGAACGTGTTTCAGGACAGGAACAACGCTGACCCACCCAGGGCTCAGAAAAAGCAGCTAAGAGTGGGCCCTAACTGACCTGCAGCCTCCTCCCCCACCCCCCACCCCGGGGCCCAGCAGTTCTCTGCCCTCCTCGGAATCCAGGGGCCCGGCAGGAGTGAGTGACTGTCTTCCAGAGGCACTGATTGTTTCCCACACGATTCCACGCTCCCGGGCTCCAGGGTTTGCAGAGGGCTGGCTGAGTCAGGGGTGGCACTGGGCATCCGGAGGATTTAAGTCTTCTCCAGCCTACTACAATCCACCCCCCCAGGAGGTCCCACCTTGGACTTCCCCCAAACAAAGCTTTACAGTGAGGTCTGACCAAGTTATCAGAACTCATCCCACCACCAGGAACCCTAAGTCAAAGGCCTTCTAGACGAGGGAAAGGAGAAACCCTCAGACACCGTAAAAGAACGACCCCTTGTCCTCTAGGCCCACACCTTCCAAATCTTTCAGTGTTGACCTTTCCAACGGTAACAGATGGGAATGCCAGAAATAGAGCAGTCCCCTAAATTCAGGTATGCAAAAATATAACTTTTTTCTCTGTAACTCAACTTTACCCTGGTAATAAGCCCCCATTTCTAACCAACAGAAAAGTTAACCTGATAACGTTAAAGTAAACTCAGCCCAACGAGTGATCTAAACTCGATGAATTCAAGTCTAATGTGGTCACATCCCCATCTGGGGGCTGGGCCCATCCCATCCTCCTGCTGTCCTCCCGCAGGGGCCCCGGCACGCTCTCCAGCACCTCTCAGCTGACCTCCGTGCCCCACAGGCTCCTTGGGACCCCCTCCCTTCTCCAGTCAAGAGAAATCTGGGCAGCTGTCACCAGCCCTATCCTGCCAGGTCCTTCCAAACTGCCATTTCCATCTGCCCTGGTGGCATGGGGAACATCTGACAGGCCACTGTCCTCCCTAATTCCAAACAGGGAGCAAGGCCCAAGGCCCCCCTACCCTGAGAGCCCCCCAGTGTCAAGGGGATTGCTCCTACACTGCTTCTAATGCTCTTCTCTAAGACCCCTTCCTCTCCCCACCCCAGGTTCCTTTATCTGTTCATGGTCCCTTTCAGATCTCCTCTCACAGCTTAGCTCTTTCACTTAAAACCTAAAGATCCAGCATCTTTGTTCTCTCCAGTTCAGCAGGGAGGGGTGAAAGTCACCCATGAATTAATACTTCACCTAACAACTCACCACAGCCTGGAGGAAAGAGAACCTCCAAATACAGCGCATCTGGGCCTGCGTGTCCTGGACGAGCCTAGGACTATTCAGGAGCTCCCCAGCCCAGGGCAGGGTGGGCAATGGTCCCCCTGTGAGTGGGGCCTGGCACACAGGCCCATCCATGGCAGGGAAGGGGGAGGCAGTAGAGGCCAGTGGTTTGCTGACAGCCCAGGCTTTGAAGTCGAACAAGCCTGGACTCACCAGGTCTCCTCCACTTACTGACATGATCTTGAGCAAGTCATCTGACTCCTCTGAGCCTCAGTTTCCTCTCCCGCAACAAGATGCCACCCACCTCCCAGGACCCCTGTGAGGAGAGGATACTGTCATTAAGCAGTTAGCTCACTGCCTGGCGTGCCAACGCTCCCTACATGTGATCCACCCATTGGTACCCAAAACCACACACACACACACACACACACTCTCAGCAGGAGCCCAGCTTTTGGGCTCAAGGGCAGCCTGACTTGTCCCCACTCCTTCCTCCAGCCCTCTTCCCAGGGCCTCTACACAAACATGTGGGTGCCTCTATTCCCACTGTGTTCATCCTTGGGGACAGGAAACAGATCCCTACTCAGGCTGGCTCCAGTCGGAGAGGAGTTTATGCGGTTAGGACTCTTTCAGTGGCTCATACTTGGTTCAAAATAGCTTAAGCCAAAAAGAAAAAAGGAGGAATCTCCTTTAGCCCTCATAACCTAAAATTCCAGAGGTGTCTGCCTTCAGTCACAACTGGGCCCAGGACTCTGGGGACACCAGGACTCGGTCCTGCTGGCTCCACTTCTCAGCTCTGTCTTCCTTTCTCTGCATGGTTCCACTTGCAGGAAGGCTCTCCCCTCATGGCCAGCGGCTCCAGGCTCATCCTCTCAACAACACTCATGGGGAAACTCGCCTCTTTCTTGGTTGCCCCAGCAAAAGGCCAGGACTCGGTTTGGTAGGCCAAACTGGGCCCCATGAGCATTCCTGAACCGATCACAGTGGCCACAGAGACAGGTAAAGGAGTGGGGTCAACCCAACCAGGCCCCGGGCCAAGTGAGGTGGTGCTGAGAAAAGGCAGGAGCAGAAACCACCAGATGCCACCCTGCCTCCAGAGCCCAGCTCCACATAGCCTCTCCCCAGTCAGCCTCTTGTATGCAGCTCCCATGCCAACGGCCCAAGATCCTCACTAGCTCCCAAGTGAAACTGGAGAGAGGGGGGCTCTGACTGGCCCAGCTCCATTAGGCAGGGAGTTCCACGCCAGGCCACGTGACAGGTGCTGCCATTGAGGACTGCTGCCCGTGGGGGTCAGGAGTACCACTTGATCCCACCAGCGGGGGCGGAGCAGGGTTGGAGATCAGGTCTCAGGTTCAAACAAGGCCGCTTGGCCTGCCCGTGCGGGAAGAGCGTTGGGCGGGCAGGTTCTGTGAGAAGTGGCAGAAACGCAGGCCTCACGAGTGACACATCTCAGTACGCCCAGGACGTCGGGAGTGGAAACAGCTTTATTGATACCTGAGAACAAGTGCAGGAGAAACGATCCGACTGACCACTCGGCCTGTCCCCCCAGGCCAGATCTTCTAAAGGCCAGACCATTTCTCTGGCCCTTCCCTTGGGCCGTGGGTCATTTGGGGCCTCCCTAGCCAGCACCCAAAGGCTGGAGAAGTCCACCGCCAGAGTCTGGAGAGAGAACATCTGTAGCCATGGCTCCTGAGGCTGAGGCGGGGTCAGTGGAAGCCTCACCGGTCAAGGTCTAGAGCCTCTTGGGTCACAGTCCGGAGTCCGATGGAAAACAGCTCCTCCCAGGGCTCCCGGATCCAGGCCAGCAGGGCTGTCAGCTGCTCTGGACACACAACGCGGAGGGCCCAAAAACTCTCCAGCCGGGACACCTGGAGATCAAGCAGCAGGGGGGTGAGGCGCACAGAGCGCAGCCCAGAGCGGGAGGGGAGGTCTCGGGGACGACCCTTCTCGGGGACGACCCTTCGCGGCTCCTTGGCTCATGGCCTCTTCCCTTCCCCAAGCCTGCGCACTCCCCATAAAAGATCCCGACTTGGAACTTTTTAAACAGAACACACTCAACACTTACTGAAGGCCCCCAAAGGGCTTTCACATTTACTATCCTGTTTCTTTAATCCTCCCTGTTTTCCAGAACACAAATTATGGAGTCAATTCCAAGGAATTGCTCGGGGCTCAGTTCCTGGCTCCACCACTTGTGACGTGGGCAAGTTGGTTAACATCCCCTGATCTGTAACAGGACTAATAATAGTACCTCCTCACGCGTGGGTTTTAAAGATCAAACGACTGGCACATGGGCCCACTACAGGCCTCCCAGCTGGCAAAGGCTGGGCTCCAAGTCCGGGGTGTTTCCACTGCCTACACCTGCCTCCGTCTCTACTTGCTGCCGTCTAAACCCCGTGGGCCTCTAGCTTCTTGCACCCTATTTCTCTGTGTTCCCCCACCACGACTGCCCATGGCAAGGTCCACACTGCCCCTAATTCCTAGCCTTCCTAGACCCATTTCCCACACAGCCCACCACCTCTGCCCCACCACACACATACACGCATGCACACGCACACACCTCATCATAGAAGACCAGCCGCAGCTCCTCCGGGGCCGTGCGGTAGAGCAACACGGAGCTCAGACTGCTGAGAGGCTGCTGCTCCCGGACACGCACGGAAGGGCCTGGCCCCGAGGGTGGGGCCTTCTCAGAGGGCTCTCCAGATGCTGCTGCAAGAGGTGGCTCTGCCTGGAACCCTACAAGGTCCTCATCCAACAAGTACAGGGTGGAGAGAGTCAGCAACAGGGACACAGGGCAGGTAGCAGAGCCTGGAGGGCAAGAGGCAGGGTGAGGCCCAGAGTGGAAGGTCACAGATGAGCCCAGGGCCAGCGTCCCCGTGCTGCTCGGGAGAAGAGGAGCCAACCACACTGAGGGGGCCACAAAGCAGCCTGTGCCTCGGGGCCACGGCCTTCCCTGTTCCAAACTCCAGGCATCTCTAGCCTCCAAAACCTCTAAGGCCCAAGACAAAGGGAACCTGCCACACCACCCACCCACTCAGAAAGAAGGGTCCGCTCTCGCCTTCTCCAACAGGATGAGGCGGAGCCAGCAGACCCAGCCAATCTGCTCCACCTCACAGAAAGCCTGGGCCCGAAAGCAAAGGTCTCTGGGCAACTGAGGCCCCAGGGCACCTCCTGGCCCCACCCAGAGGCCAGGAACACCAAGACTGTCATGTGGGTATGCCCACCAGTGAGACGAAATGCAGATTCTGAGAAGTGAGAATTGCTACAACGGCACGCAGAGGCGCTAGGCGGCCGGGCCAGTGGCCTGGGACAAGATGGGGGACAGAGGCCTCACCTTCAACCAGGAACACCCGAAGGTAGAAGAACCGGCGAGGCTCGGAGGAAGAGTCTCTTTCCAGCAATGGCCTGAGGGGAAGGAGTGGTCAGCTGGCGGGTGGGAAGTACCATGAGGGGGGAGAGCAGGAAGGAAGGACCGGGCCTAGATCAGGAGGCACGGGATGAGGATAGGCGGCAGGCCCAGGTGCTCAGGGCCGGACTATAGCTGGGGCTGGTGGAGAGAGGGCCTGTGGTCCAAGAGCAGCGTCTGGGCACCAACCCCAGCCCCAGGCTCCTATCCACTCACCAGAGCCGGTGCTTCGGGGTTACCTCCTCCTGTGTGGTGATAATGCTGCTCCTCCGGGTTGAGGGCAGAGACTGCAAGACATCTGGAGAGAGCCAGCAAGGACAGGGAACCCTCAAGCCTCCAGCTCTTCTATCCCAACCTCTCCACCTCTCAACACCTTCCCATTCTCCACACTTCTAGATTCAGAAACTTCTTCAAGGGATCAGTCCCATCACCTGTCTGTCTCTACTGTGGGAGCCAGACATGGGGCCCCTCAGCCCCACCCTCCCTGACCGCTCCCAGCCCTCTCTCACCGCTGAGCTCCTCTAGGAAGACCCGGCAATGCTTGGCATCTCGGGGCAGCAGAACACAGCTGCCCGCTCCACCCGCCCACTCCAGCCGCAGGCTCTGTCCTGCTAGGCCCAGCTCTATGCCGCTCAGATCCTGCAGGGGAACAGCCAGGGTTGGCTGTAGCCAGCTAGCTGGAGGCCCGCTGTGGAGAGCGAGGGGCAGAGGGGCAGAAAAGAGTAAGACTGGAGTGACACCACAGGGGGCAGTGACCTTTCCCTGGCCACAGCCCCGCTCACTCACCAGATGTCCCCTGTCACCTTCAACACATAAAGCCTGTGGTCAGACACAACCACGAGACACAGAAACTCCCCAGGGTGGCCTGCCAACAGCAGTGGCACCTAAGGGGAAGAGGACATTGATGAGAAACAGGAAGAGAGGAAAGGGATGGGCCGACAGAGAGCCGAGGTACTTGCGACGGCACCTTCGGCCTGACCCTCCGCACACTCATCCATCCCAGCCTCTCCACCGCCCGCCCTCTATCCCACAGCCCCTGCCTGCACTCAGACCCGCGTCGGGCTCTTAGCAGGCTTCCAGCCTGTCACCTCGCCCCTCCAGTCTGCCCTCCACTCTGACAGACGGTTCTAAAACACAAAACCAATTGCCATTTCCCTGCTTCCAGCCCTTCAGTGGCTCCGGCAGCCCTCGGGATCAAGGGCAAACTCCTTGGCAGACACATGACATTGCTCCTGAACCAGCCCCCGCCTGCCTGTTCAGACTCCTCTCGGGACACCTGCCCCCCACACCCCACATCTGGCTGCCCCTACCAGGGGCAGTGCTCCCCACCAGCCACTCTCTCCAGCCTCCACGCAAGTGCTGCTTCCCAGACCTACAACATCCTTTTCCTCCCTCCTCCGGAACTCCTCCTTCAAGACCTGGCTTAGCCATCACCCCGCCCCAGGAACGGTTCCTGGCCCACTCAGGCTGGATCCAATGCTCTTCTAGGGCCTCAGCCTGAGCCCAGCCTTGCATATTGCATGATGGTTGTCTGTTTCTCACATCAGAATATAAGATACGAGGCAAGATGGGTTCATTTTAGATCCTCAGCACGTAACATACAGCAAGTGCTCAACAGAGAGGGTCCAATGACACTGCGTGTTTATAATAATGACACGAGCTCCCATTTACTGAGTGCCAGGTGCCGTGGTAAGCAGCCTACAGACACGAGCCCTCACTAATGCTGCCACCCTCTGTAAGGCAGGTGTCATCATCCCCGTTGTCAAGGGTGACAACTGAGACTCAAAGATCAAGGAATGTCCACACAGCAAGTAACTGCTGGGGCCGAAACTGGAAGCCAGAGCCGGTGGTTCCAAAGTGACTGCTGTGGTGGAAACAAGTGGGTGCCCTGCTCAGTTAGGGGCCCGGGCAGTGCCAGGCTGGCACAGACCTTGACGCAGCACTGGAACTCCTCCTGGGCATCAGTGAACACCTCCACGTCCAGGAAGAGCCGGAGCCGGTGGTCCACAGAGCGGAGGCCACAGCGCTCAGGGGCTGGGGACAGGCGGTGGGCAGTCAGCCTGCCCTGGCAGCCCACGGCTCCATCCCCAGCTACCCATCAGTGCCCCTTCCCCCCCAAAAGCCATTCCTCTCTCCTTTTGCCTATACTCACGGGGACTAAGGCTCCAACTGTGGCGGTCATGGGAGACCGGTGCCTGAGACAGGGCACTGTCGGCCCTGTCGCTGTGGTCACTGCGGCCAGGAGGGTCATGCCCGGCACTGGGGGATGGCGAAGGAGCTGGCGATGGCTCTCCCTGTCTCCGCTCCATGTTGGGGGTGCCCAGGGACAGAGCCAGGAGAACCACATGATCACTACCACAGTTCGGACACACTGCAGGAGATTCTGGAGGGAGGGATCCAAGTTTCTGTGAACACCCCTCCCACAGTACCACAACCCCCCACCATGCTCATAATGCTCCCCCGCAGCTCGGACTCACCTGGGTCCACATCTCCAGCTTCATACATTACCCACCAGTCCCAACCCACTCGACTCCCGGCTGCCGACCAACCACTCCTCATCCCAGTGAGATAAGCAAACCCAGACCCTCGGCCCACAGCCTCCTCAAAATACACCCTGCCTTCTCATTTCAGGCCTTCTCAGAGAGGGCCAAACTCAGCCAGGCCCTGCTCTGGTCCCCGCCCACAGCCTCGGGCTGATCAGGTACTTCAATGCTCTACCAGCAATGTCTGAAAGCCCCAAATCACAGATTGGGAAGGCAAGGTGCCAGACACGGGTCAGATTCCAGGCTCCATCACTTAAAGGCTGTCATCTAAGCAATGATGACAAGTCACCTGAGCTCTCTGTGCCTAGTTACTCATCTGTAAAATGGGGATGATGACAGTGTCTGTCCTACAGAGCTGTCAGGAGGAGTGAACAGAATCAGGTAAAGAATCCAGGACCCAGATGAGCAACAAGAGAAGACACATCTTCACAAGGCTACAGCGCTCTGGGCACGTGCAAGACCCTTTGACGGTAGTGTCAAATCTCGCCCTATTCCACTTTGCAAACGAGGAAAGCAGAGATCAAAGAACCGACCGTCCTGCCCAAGACTGGAGAGCTGAGAGTGGCGGCAGCAGCTGCCACTGATGGAGGACCTCTGTTTTGAGCCAGGCACTGTGCCTGGTGCCTTTTTGTCACATTTAAATCTCCTAACAGCACCATGGGGCAAGTTCACACTCTTCTCTGTTCAGATGAGGTAACTGAGGCTCAAATACAAGAACGGAGCATAAAGAAATGTTTGTTGATAAGGCCACCACGAAGGGACCCTAGGGACCACATGACCCCATGAAGTACACGCAGGGTCCGGGAGCGGGTGGGGCTGTGTCCATTGCACACACTGAACTGCTGGGCCTCAGGGTCCTGCAGCCGCCTGGGCAGGTTCAGGGTGGGGGATGGAGAGGGTCCATTTTCTGAATAAAATTGAAACCCCTGCTCCAGCTGCTGCCAAGAAGAGGACAGTGGCTAAAAAAAGTCATGGATTTCAACAGAGATGTTATCAAGAATATTCCTTTCTTCCTCTTCAATGTCTTCCAAGACACTGCTTTTCCCCTGGTCTACGATGGAAAAATCTCTCTTCTTAAAGAACAGAATGTGCAGAGATACCACGAGGCCCAGCTCGATATCAAGCAGCTCACGAGGTCAGTCAAGGAAGGACAGTCTGAGCCAACTCCCAGAGCATCTTACTCCACAGCCCAACGTGCTCAGAGGGCAGCATGCAACTCGATACTGCACGGAGGGCTCAGGGGGTTTAGGGGGTTTCTGAGTATCAGCCAAAACAAGGGGGAAAAGACTTCAAGTTATGAAACAATAATGAGTGTGTTGAAACAATTACAGAGATTGTATGTCCTGACTTTTAGAAAAAAAAGAATATAATTTCATTCTTTCTATTTTTTTTTTTGTAAAGGTAGCGGGCAGATGGTTTTATTTTTCCCCCAGGCAGAAAAGCTGGCCCCCACTCTTTTCTTCCCTGGGGTTCCCCCTCCACACTCCCCACCTCAAAGCCATTTTCCCTGAATGGTGGGAGGTGCGTGGGCAGGGGGGCAGGGCAGGCTTGCACTTGCCTGTCTTCCCGAACACAGGCCTCCAGCCTTCCTCACTGTCCAGTCCCAGCCTGGGCTCCTCTGGCTTGAACTCGTGGCCACAACGCAGACACTGGAGTCTGCCCGCCAGCAGGTCCCTTGCTTCCCCAAGCTGACGCTGAGCCGTGGTGGCTGCTGGGGTCAACACAGCAAGCAGTTCCTGAAACAGGCGGGCCAGACGCAGGTGTGAGCAGGTGGACCCGGCCCTCAGCCTTCCCATCTTCCCGCAGCCTCCTGGGCCCCAAGCTAGGGTCCCCCGTCACCTGGATGGCCGCGTGGGCATCAGGCTCCAGCACCACATAGCGACGCCACTGCCGGTCCGGGCAAACGTAGGAGAAACGCAGCACGAGGATGGGGGCTCCGGGGAGTGGGTCTGCACCCTGCGCCCGAAGAGGGGCCCCAGTGGAAGAGAGCGGGGCAGGGGTTAGAGGGATTATGGTTATACTGAGAGTGTGGAGGGAAACAAGAGCTCTGCACTCCGTTAAAATGATTTTGCTGACATCCTCCAGTCCAGAAACTCTACTCCTCAGCCCCACCTCCCAAGGGGCCTCGGCCACATCTTTGCCCTTCCCAGCTCCCCTCCTTGGCGCCAAGTGCCAGGAGAGACTGTGAGGAACACACAGCCCAGACCCTGGCACCCAACAGCCATGCTGTCAGAGCTGGCTCCTGAAAAGGGCCCAGCAACTCTTCCGGAACGGCCACTCCCCCCACTCACCTCAGGCACTGGTTCTCTCCGGGCTGGGGTCTCGGGCTCCACCTCAGCTGCCTCCAGACTCTGGAGCTCGAGCCGTTCCAGGGTTCGAGCCGCTTGGAGCTCCACCTCAATCAGGTGGCCAGAAGTGACCCGGAGAAAGCGTTCCCGGCCCCGAACGCCCTCAGGGCCCTCCAGGGGACACACCAACATGGGGCGACAGAGCTCCACTGAGGAGACACCAAGAGAGGGACCCTGTAAGGAGGGAAGGTCCCCAAGACTCTGCCCTCCCGTGGGGTGGCCCTCCATCCAAAAGGGGTCAGCCACCCCGTGTCTGGGTTTCCCTAACTCTCCCAGACGCACCACCATCACTGGCCCCAGCCTTCCCGATGGCCAATGGGTGCTCACCTTCTACTTCACTCTGCTCCTCCTCCTCCTCCTCCTCCTTTCCTTCCTCTTCTTTTCCCTGTTCTTCCATCTCCTCTTCCTCCTGTGGCTCTGGTTCCACGCTGACTTCCTCTGCCATTTCCTCGGGTGACTCCTTCTCTGGGGGCGGAGGGCCAGGCACAGTCTCTGGGCTCAGGGCATCTGGGCGCAGGGTGCTGAGGGCGGGGGTCTCAGAGGCAGCCACAACGGGGGTCCCAGAGGTCTCCAGGTGATTCCTATACTGCAGCCAATCACAGCCGAACCGTTTCCGGAAGCTGTTCATGAGTTCAAGTTCCCGATGCTGCTGCACAAACCATCCTGGGCAGGTGGGGAGTGCAGAGCTTAGCAAGCCCACACCCCACCGCAAGCCGACGGCGCAGCCTCTTCTGTGAGTGTTCCGCAGGGTGAAGGAAAAGGGTCTGTAATGTGTGTGCAGTGGGGGGGGCGAGGGGGGAGTCAGAAGGAGGCTAAAGGCTCCCCTCAGCAGCATGTCCCAATGTTCTATGGAACACTGTGGTCACGTGCAATTCAGAACTGCACGTCACGGGCTGCTTTGGGAGCGTCACAACCCAACACAGCATATTTAAGGTCCTGAGAGGTCCTGGAAGGAGGACACCTATTTAACTTTGTTTAATCTCGCATTTCCCAAACGCAGCTGGCCATGGAATCCTTTCATTATATGACCTTGCAACATCTCACAAACTTAATGTTCCTTGAAAACACTTGGGAAAACGCGGCCCAAAGGAGCAGTCTCTTCTCCTTTCCCTAAACTAAAGAGAGGAACGAGGGAAGAGTAAGAGGCCCTCCGCCATGCTCCACTCCACCAGAAGTCAAATGCCTCCTAACTAGAAGGTTGGAGAGCGCCGGATGGGGCGTGGGGACAGGGGTAGGGCTGACTCACCAGCCGGGGAGGGGTCCAGAGTCCGGGGCTCTGGGTCCGTATCACTGGGTTCCGAGATACTGGCCCGCCTCACACGGACTCGGCTCTGAGGTTGGGTAGAAGGATGAAGTTCTATGAAAGCCAGGGCCTCCCACCCTGCCATCCATGGCCACCACCCAACCTACCACAAACACCCCACCTCCAAGCAAGGTAAGGCTTTACTCCTCCCAGCCCACCGACAACCCAGAGCCCCGTAAAGGAACCCGACCCCAGGCACAAGGCAGTCTACGACTTCGTTTACCTTCACCTTACGAAGTGGGGGCTGGACCGCAACACTCCCTGAGGAGAGGCTGTCACTCAAATCGGGGCCACCTGAGGTTTCGGTGGTACTCCCCACTGGCCAGGGCGGGGGTGGAACCGTGGAGCCAAGCCCTGAGGATGTGGAGGTCTGTGACATGTGTGACGAGAGAAAGGAGAAAGAGGTCGGAACCAGGGGAGCACCTCTGCCCTGCACAAGCTAGCCGGGAGACGGGACCTCCTTTCAGGCTGAGCAGGAAGACCCTTACCCCAGAAACCCATTTCCCTCAGCTCGCGCCCTCCCTTCACGTCCTCCCAAATCAGTCCTCACTCTCCCACTCCCATCACTCCCCACAACGCTTACCTGAAAATCAGTCAGTACCAAGACCTTTCCATCGAGAAGGAACTGAGCAGAGATAAAAGGGGAGGGCAGTGTTGGTGGTGGAGCGCACGCCCCGGGGGAGCTCCAAGCCAGGGTGGGAGCCCTCCTCGTCCTGTAAGGACCACCAGGCTCAGCAGGCTGTAACAGCATCATAAGCAGGGGGGTCCAGGCCTCGGCCCCTCGCCTAGGGATGGGGTGGGGAGAGGCCAGAGGGGGTGGGGGCGGGGTAGGACCGGGCAGGAAGGGGAAAGCAGGGGGACACGGAAGATCACTCACGCCAGGAGCAGCATCCTTGGCCCGGGGAGACAAGTACTGGGCGGTGGCCGCTCGGTGCGCAGGGTGGAACCACAAAGGGTTCCCCTCCAGGTAGAGCTGAGGGCAGGAAGAGGAGCCTGAGGTGGGCCTTGGGCCTCCATGGATGAGGACGGGCACTGACCAAATGAGCTTGGGAGGGAGAGCACAAACCTGGCTCCCAGGTCCTTGAAGCACCCAAGTCTCACCTTGCGGAGCTCAGCCAGCAGCCACAGCGGCGACAGCTCCCGGTGTCCTTCCAGCAGGTTGTACGCCACATCCAGGTGCCGCAGGTTCCTCAGCTGCTCCAGGCCTGGGGCGGAGGCGAGAAGGGAGGACGGACGTGTGGGTGATGGTGGGGTGTGTGGTGTGTGCTGGGGGAGGGCACCGTAGAACAAGCCTGGGCCCCCCGAGGCCTGCCCATGAGCCCGCATGAGGCTCTGGAGGCACATGGTTCCCGGGCCACCCTGCCACTCTGAGTCTCACACTGCCCCCATTCCCCTCCACGTCTGGCCCACCCTCTCCGACTCCCTGGTCCCCATCTCCCCCACTCACCGTGCAGGCTCCGGAGCTCATTGCCTCGCAGTATCAGGGTCGCCAGAGCAGCCCCCGAGGGTCCCATTCTCGGCACGGAACGCAGGTGGTTATAGGAGATGTTCAGGTGGTGGAGCTCAGACAAGTCCTGGGAGGGGGTGCGGGGGACAAAGATTCTCTCCTTGAGCAAACTCCAGCCAGGCTCTTTTGAGCCCTCTCCTCAACTGGGCGTCAACCTTGGCCTATAAAGACTGCAGAGACTCTAAGCACAAATGATTTCATCCACCCCTCCACCCCCACCCCATTAAAAGACTTGAACAAATACTAGCATGGATCCTAATAGCTCAAAGCCACATCCCTAGGATGACAACTCCAGTCCCTTACGTTCCTGCCTAGAAAAACTCAAGGCTGCCAGAAGAATTTAGTTTGTTCCAGCAATGCCCGAAGATAGGGCCCCCATCTCCCAGCCTCCATGGGAGGGTAGGAGCCTAACTTCGGCAAGCACCAGTTAGCAAACCCAGATGGGTTTCACATAGACCAATGCCCCTTTCCTGCTTTTTGTAAATTTCCACTTCCTTGACTTCAGAGGAGCCTGACTAGAGTTTGGTCAAGGACAGAATCTGGTCAAGCCCTGCCGTTCCCCCTCCCCACTCCCGTACTCTCCCTTTAAAACGCCCAGTTACCTCTGCACAAATGGAACTTGGGCTCAGTTCACAGTGAATAGCTTAGTACTGATTAAAACAGTTTTACTAGTGATTAAATATCACAATAGTTTATGACTACTGCAATAGTTTTTTACTGATTAAAATCTGTTCTTACCACTTTAACTCATGCCCAGCTTTGTTTATCATTGATGGGGAGACATGGGAGAAGGGTTCTTCATCATCATCATCACAAAAGCCACCCTTTTCTGAGCCAGGCACTAGGCTAAGTAACATCAGACACTCCTGACAATCATCTCAAAACTACAAAAGTAGGTGAAGAAACTAAGAGGTTAACTAATTTCTCCCAAGTCACACAGAGATTAGGAGATGAGATTTGAACACTGAGTTGTCTTATGCTAGAGCCTGAGCCCCCAAACAGTACTGCTTCCCAGGATGTGGCTCCACCTGGGGGGGCAAGAGCAAGGTGGGAACAAAACTAGGTTCAGGAGAGAGGGTTCAGAGCAGAATGATCAGAGGCCCCGGGGGCGCTGGGCACGCCAGGCTGCTCATACTCACCATCAGGAAGCCCTCGCAGTCCTGGACTTGATTGTGGCTCAGGTTCAAGAAGCGCAGAGCTGACAAGAGACGCTGGGGAGATGGGAAGAGGAGGCAGAGAATTGGACACCCCCAGGCAGCCAGCTGGCCCTCTTCCCTAAGGCCCTCCTGCCCACCCCTGTCCCTCCCCAACTCCCTTCCCTCTGAGGCCCTCACCAGGGAGCTGTCTAAGGCAGTCAGTGCATTGTAGCTGAAGTCAGCAGAAAGCAGAGCCAGCCACGGCAGGGCGGAGCAGAGGTCACCACCGCAGGCCGAGAGGATCTCCTGCGACAAGGTGTTCGGTTACCTCCACTTTCCCGTCCTCCCCACCCAAGGCCACACTCTATCACCACTCATTCATTCGTTACACACTAAGCTCGGTCTGGAGATGCAGACCTAAAGAGAGCCCAGGGCCCTGGCCCCAAGGAGTTCACTGTAGGGAGAGTGGGGAGGCAGACACCAGAGTATTTACTACAACATGGTAGATGTGACCACAACTACACAGACAGGCAGAGAGTGCTGTGGGAGCACAGCAGAGGCAGCAGGACACTGTCCAGAGGGAGGAGGCAGGGAAGACTGCAGAGGAGAAGGAATGTCAGAGCTTGGTCCTCTCTGTCCCTCAGGACAAGGCGTCTGGGCCCACCCCTCATCCTCCTTACCTCTAATGCCTGGATGCTCCTGCTGCAAATCAGGGTCTCCAGCTGGGAGTAAATGCCACGGAGGCCATGGAGGCAGTGGAGGGGGACACCTCGGAGCTGGGACAAGGCAAGGGAACAGAGGGAGAGAGACAGAACTTCACAGAAGACAGAGGGCTCACCCACTTCCCCTCACTGGGAGGAGAGAAAAGATGACAAAGCCAACTGTGGTTCAGGGAAGTGTTAAACGGAAAGAGAGTGGATGCCACATTACTGCAGAGCAATGGGCACACTTAGGCCTGGTCCCCCCCCACCAAAAGAGGCCATTTCTCTTTCTCCATCCCCAAATGGCTGCCTCAAGCTGGCTTTTGTGCACCAAAATCCCCTAGCGCCCCATACCTCCAGCTGCCGAAGGGACTTGAAGGGAAAAATCTTGATAGGCCCTGGGAGGCCAGGACCAGGGACATGGACCAGCTAAAAGAAAAAACACTCAAGTCACTGAGGCCCGGCACATCTCTCTTTCCTTGGCTTCTCTTCCTTAGCACTGCCACCAGTGGCTCTCACATCTGATCTGGGCCCTGCAGATCTTGTAGTACCCGTGCCCGGCCCCCCCAGCCCCTGCCTCCACTATTCTCTTGGGTTCTCTGTACCACTGCTCCATTCCCACCCCAGAACCTTGAGTGAAAGCGTTTTCTGCAGCACATCGAAGAGGAACTGAAGCTGGAGGATGATGGGAGAGTCGGCGGGGTGGGAGGGCAGGGCCACAAAGCCTGTCTGGCCAGGGCCCCATGGCCCCAGGTGTAGCTCGAATACGTGGTTCAGCTGCTGCAGTGTGGCAGTCAGCAGGCTCAGGGTGCTACAGCCAGACAGGACCACGTCCCCTGCAGGGAGAGACGCAGACAGGAAGGACGACATAACAAAAGGGTCTTTCCCTTTATTCTAAGACTTTGTGACCCCGGATACACCCACTCCAATCCATATTGTACACCTTCCACTGCAGGATCCAACTTGCTATCTCCTCCCTACTCAAAAGTCTTCAACGTCTCCCCTCTATCTTCAAAAAAAAAAATTCCTAATTCTTCAGCCTGATATATGTGATTGCATCATGTAATGACTCCAAACAACTTTTCCAAATTTTCTTTTACCATCTGCTCAAAAGAACCTGGTCTCCTCACAGTGCTGGAAATACAGTCAACTTGGTTCACAGCTCTCTCATTTTCTGATACATCCCCTTCCACTCTGCCCAGCTTAAGACCCTTCTCCTCCAGGCAGGAGGAGATCTTTCTCCTCCTCTCAATACCCAACACTGCTGAACTTTTACACTATAACCACTCATGCTACATAAAAGTTGATTGGGTTTTTTATCTTTATTTCTTTTTCTGATTGCAAAAGTAACATGCACGCTTACAGAAACTTTCAAACGATATTAAAATGCATGGCATAGAAAGAATAACCACTCATTATAGCACTGAGGTATTGTTATTGCTCTCCATGTTATAACTGCTCTCTCCAATAAGGCTGTCATCCTTGAGAGCATCTTTTGGTCACCGCACCTAAAAAAGTACAGCTACAAGGTAGGTATGGAGAAATCTTTTTTTAAAAACAAGGATAGAGTCAAAGGATGTTGCTAAAATAGTAGAGAGGTACCTATACTCTTCACCCAGTTTCCCCCAATGGTTACATTTATGTAAACAGCAAGACCAGGAAACTGACGTTGGTATGTGAATGTACTATAGTTCTATGCCATTTTGTCACATGTGTAGATTCCTGTAATCCCCACCATAATCAAGATACAAAACTATTCCATCACCATAAAGATCTCCCTCCTGCTACCTGTTTGTAGTCATACACACACACACCATCATCCCTAACCCCTGGGGCCAAGTCATATTTTTGCTGAATAAATTAACAAATCCTGCCACTTTGCATGAAAGATTTTCTATGTACTAGAGACACTCGAGATAGATACAGACATGGTACAAGGACTCTTCCCACCCTCAAAGAGCCTCCCAGTCTACCAGAGGAGATCAGACGTGTCCATATTTAATAAAACAAGCCATAAACCAAAAATGTTATAAAGAGAGATTCCACAGATGCCGTCCATGGGAGTGCAGAGTGAAGGAAGGCAGCTAACATTAATTGGGTAACACGTGGCAGAGGACTGTGTTACCTCATTTAAACTTCATCGGAATCTCCTAAAGAGAAGCACTATTGACCAGCTCTCACAGATATGGAAATTGGGGCTCAGAGAAGAATATCGGTTGAGATCATATAACTGGCAGGAAGTTGCTACCTCTGTCTGATCTCAAAGCCAAGGCCTGTTCCACCACAACTAATGTCAACCACATACTGAACAACTACTGTGGCTCCACTGTGCCCAGGCACTGAGGGAGAAATTACAGTAACAACAGTTACCAATTTCGAGCACTTACTATATATGCAAATACTGTACTACATGCTTTATGTGAATTAAAATTAATCCCTACAACAACCTGTAAGGACAACCATTATGGCATTTTGCTAGTGAGGAAAACTAACGCTCAGGAAACTTCAACGGCTTGACCAAGTTTGAAAGAGAGTTGGGATTCTAGTCCAGGTGGGTCTGACTCCAAATCTCGAGCTTTAACTACACTAAGCGCCCTGCCACACAGCAATGATTATGACCAGTCCCTGGTAGTAACGATCACCTTCCCTCTGAGAGTAGCAGAGAATGCACAGAGGAAGCAACACTGGAGTTTGGTCTCGAAGGATGATTCAAGTTTAGACTGTCAAAGACAAAGGCCACTGCAGGCAAAGGTACCAGAGCCAACAAACCCGGAAGCAGTAAAGAAATGAACTGACACCCGACCCCTGGTGACTCTAAACAGCTGTAACTCTGTGACCTTAAGGGGGCGTGTCTCTGCAAGGTAGCGAGCACCCCCACCTCGCCCCAGCCCCAGCGCAACCGGAAGTCCACTCACCGGACTCCCGCAGGAGCCCCGCGAGCTTCCACACCAGGCAGTCCCGCGGGGCGGTCGTCATGGCCACAGGACGCTGGGGGCGGAGCCTGAGGAAAGAGGAAGCGGAAGAGCCTCAGGTGGGTCGTAGAGCCAAAAGCCCAGGACGTCCGCGCAAACCGAGGCCTCGCAGGGAGAAAAAAGCAAGAAAGAGAGCAAGGAAGAGCGTCCTCCTGGGTGCCCTCTGGAGAAGCATAAAGCCTAGTCAACCAGACTGACCCTCCTGTTTGGTCCTCCCACCGCTCCGCAGCTCGGCACCTATCAATGATGGACAGGAAGTCCCACCCCGGAAGGAAGGCCAGCCCGCGGGACGACCGGAAAGCACGCCTCCGCTGCCGGAAACCACGCCCATAGTCGTGCAAACGTGTCGGGTGGGGGCGGGGCCGGCAGGGTTCGAGCGGGGCGGGCCCCCCGCGGTGGGAGCTGCTGGTCTCGGACCCGGTCCCCGAGCTGGGCCCCCATCATCCCCGACCTGCTGTGGGCCCCGCACGGCCCGGGACGCCCTCTCGGCTCGCTGCGGCCCCTCCGGGCCAGTGAGGAAAACCTGACTCGTTGCAGGCTGGTCGGGGGAGCAAAATTTGGAGAAATGGAATTTTCTGTTAGTAAAAGACTCGTCCAAAGCGAGCACTCGTTTTCCAATTAGAGGAGAGCGTGTCTGCCATAGAAGGGAGTTTGTCCATATCTGTTGAAAGAGCTGAGGCTGACGGAGGTGCCCCCTCTGGGGTTCCTTTGATGCTTTTTCCTTAATCTCCCTCCAGATTCGTTTTTCTTTTTGCCTTCAGCGGTATCAGACTCTCACATTGCGATTGGTAACGCTCCACGTGTACCTAGTCCTTTGTTTTTACTGTGTTTCATCTCATTACACCTGCATCTAAAAGTTGTTATTATCCCGGGTTTGAAAATGAGAAAACAGGTTCACAGAGGCTAGGTTACTTGCGAAGGTCGTTCAATTAGTAACCGGTAGGGCAAAGACTGCCAAAGTTTCTTGGTTCCAAGTTCCCATTGTAGCTTTCCCCGGGTTCCTGATCAAATAAGGACGTCAGCTAGTGAACTAGATTAAGTGAAAAATGTAACAGAATTTCTGGTTTTCAGGGTGGGGTTTTTTTTGTTGTGTTTTTTAATGAAGTGCGTTTTCTGCTGAAGAAATCAAAATGAATTGTAAGCAAGGGAGAGTAGGAATATGGTCATAGTCATCTTTATCCCAAGTTGCAAAATTTGAGAGATCTTATTTTCCTAAGACAAAATATCTGAAATGGCGATTTATACCTCTAAACCACACAGTTTAGCATTTAGGGCATGCTATGTGATCTGAGCCAAAATCCTAAAATGCAGTGAAGTGAAGTGAAAGTGCATCATGAACAGCAACAAAGCAGGATATAAATATAAAGTAAGAATAGGAGCTCAATATATTTTTATTGAATTATTAATCCCATATCCATGATGCTTGTCGGGCCCTGCTTGTCAATCACCTGGAACTAGGGAGGGAGGGTCCTTGGATACTGTTACTGCCGGCTCTAACCCTCTTAGGCAAGAATAGACAAATTCTTTGGAAGTTCCTGACATCGCAGTGCTTTGAAACCTGTTTCAGGCGTGACTCCCCAGTCCACAGAGTTTTTCTGAGAATTGCTCCATTCATACGGGTAGCCCCTGTAGCCAGATTTGTTCTACATCTATTGCTTTCCAGAAATGTAAAAGGGGGACAAAGAGAGCAGCAAAGAAAGCTGAGCTACAGAGGGAGAGAAAAACACATCCACTGAGAGAAGTGGCAACAGGAGACCAAGCAGTTCTTGTTTCCAGCCCCCTTGTGAGGCCCACTCCCCTTTCTGTCCTTGGCCTACAGGGGAGGCCTTGGCCGCCTTCCAAAGAATTCTCCCTTTTTTTTTTTTTGGCCCAAATTGTTTTGAGTGTATTTCTGTAAATTGCTACCATAAGAACCTTGACTATGACAAAACCTTTTTAAAAAATAAAAATATGAAAGGAAAAAAAAATTATCCTAATCACTATAACAGAAAAGAAAAAAAGAGAGAATGTACCTAGAACATTTTAAGAGATATGCCAGATCTGTATGATGAAAAACAGAGAAATTTAAGGACGTTAAAGATGACCTAAATAAGCGAAAAGATACCATGTTCCTGATGAGAAGATTCAGTATTATAGTGATGTCAATTTAATGCAATTTCCATCAAAATCCCAGTGGGAAGATTTTGGAACTTGACAAGTTGATTCTAAAATTCCTCCAGAAGACTAAACACAGGAGCACAGCCAAGACATTCTGAGGGGAAAAAAAAGAACAAGAGGCACCAATAGGGGCCTTGCCCTACCAGACAGCAAATGTCCTATAAAGCCACAGTAACCAAAGCAGCCTGATACTGACAAAGAGATAGCCAAATATTGATAGATCAGTAAAACACAATACAGAAACAACCATGATTACATGGCAATTTTGTTACTATACATGATAAAATTGACTTTAAATTAATGGTATACATATGATTTCACTCATGTGGAAGATAAAAAAACAAACGCATAGATATGGAGAACAGATTTGTTGTTAACAGAGGGGAAGGGGGTTGGGGGGAGAGCAAAAGGGGTAAAGGGGCACATGTATCTGGTGATGGGTGGAAACTATACTTTTGGTGGTGAACACGATGCAGGCTATACAGAAGCCAAAATGTGATGATGTACACCTGAAATTTACATAATTTTATAAACCAATGTGACCTCAATAAAATAAAATGAAAAATGAAAAAATTAAAGTAAATAATAGTGTAAATAATAAATTGTTCAATAATTTTGACAACGAGCTGGCCATCTGGGAAAAGCTAAGTTCCTTCCCTCACACCATGCACATTAGGTTCCAGAAGAATTAAAGAGCTAAACTTTTTTTTTAAAAAGTAAATCTAAGGACTCTTTAGAGTTTAAAGTTCAAATTCACTTCTTAAAGAAGTACTATCTTTATCAAAAAGGCATGCAATACCACCTCAAAAAAATTTATCTTTAGAAAGAAATATGTATGTCCTGCTATTGCATAATTTCATATTACCGTGGATGAAATTGTGTTTCTCAAAGAAATGCTGTGATATCATGCTCTTAACTTATAAACACTCTTCTGAGTTTTATTCCCCCAGAGTAATACTCCACCTAAAATCAGAAATGTGCAGCTGAACCTTCCAAGCACATGACCAAGACCTGCCAGCATAGCAGAGGATTTGGTACTAGAGAGGCATGTTCCTCTGCCTCATGCTCCAGCCACATGTTATTGTGTAAAGAGAGAAGTGACTTGTAAGCAGCTGCCACTGGTAGCTTCCCTGCCGCCCCTCAGTTCCCTCTGCAAAATGCTTATGATCAAAGGAGTAAGGAAAGGTGAGCTGGTTACTAGCTTAGGCAGCAGAGATGGAGGGAAGGGAGGAGAAGGTATCTTCATACAAGAATGACAAAGTCAGCTGCCAGAGAATATAGACCTCAGCGTCCTGGTTCAAAACCTGCTTGTTACTGATACCCTGGAGCGTGCAAGCCCACAGGGGAACAGAAGTAATAGTTCATCTTTGGGACGTGAGCCATTGTCCTGGATCTGGACCTCACCGCTCTGATGCAACAGCATCTTGTGGCAGATTGGATGACTGAGACCTAAAGATTCCTCCGAAATGAAAATTTCACACTTGAAATTGGGTTGTGAGTGGGGAGGGTGAAATTGAATGATCTATTTGTTTCGTCAACTAGATATCTTCATGGAGAGGGAAAGGGGGGCAAATGGAAGAGAATGAAGAGGTATGAATATTACCTGCAAAAATAGGTTTTGGTAAAAGAGTTTGTACTACAGAGCAGTCTGTGTGCCTGACACCCATGGCCCCAGGCTTGAGTGGTCAGAGGCAGGTCTTTCCACATAAGTTACATTGAATCTCTCGGCTCTGTTACCAGACCTAGCCAGAGAAGACTGGCCCAGGAACTGACCCAATCACCAAAGTCAAACATATGAGACAAATCAGCAGCATTGGAAGAAGTCTGGCATAAGAACTCTGCATTAGAGCGTGACCGAGCAAGCCCATGAGAGCCTCATTCCGGGAAAGACTGAACATGAAGCACGTGGAGGGAAAGCTGGAGAAGCAGAAGCCAAGCTCAACGCAAAATTAAGAGAAGCCAGGGATGGCTGACCAAAAATGAAGCGACAAAATAACAATATTCCAGGGCCGGCCCCGTGGCTTAGCAGTTAAGTGCGCGCGTTCCGCTACTGGTGCCCGGGTTCGGATCCCGGGCGCGCACTGACACACCGCTTCTCCGGCCATGCTGAGGCCGCATCCCACATACAGCAACTAGAAGGATGTACAACTATGACATACAACTATCTGCTGGGGCTTTGGGGGAAAAAAGGAGGAGGATTGGCAATAGATGTTAGCTCAGAGCCGGTCTTCCTTAGCAAAAAGAGGAGGATTAGCATGGATGTTAGCTCAGGGCTGATCTTCCTCACAAAAATAAAAATAAAAATAAAAATAAACAATATTCCAGTGGCCTGCAGCAGCTCTGGTCACCCATCCTGAGAAGACTTTGCAGTTCTGCACAAAATAAACTGAGGGATGCCCTGCGTGGCTTTATAGTAAATCTGTGGTCCCCGAGAGTGCCTTTAGTTCTTTTCACTGTCTATCCTGGAAACCCGTGGAATCATCTGAGAAAGGATTAGGAAAGGCTATAAGAAAGATGGGGACCTTGTGCTTAATTCAGAACACAGAAAGGAACAGATGAGATGAAGACGACATTTCCCAATCAAGCTGGTTGGAAAAGAGCAGGAGCCTGATGGAAATGTGAGTGGAGGCAGCTGTGGAGAAGAGCAGACAGCAGGCAGGATCTTGGAGAGGAAGAAAAAGCCTCTGTTCCAGGCATAACCCACAGAAGGCCTGTTGGCAAAGTCAGGTACATATGAGACACCTGTCTTCCATCTCAGGCCTCTTCGCACGCGGGGCTGGAGGGAGGAGGGAAATGGTCTGCAGCAAGGGAGGAAGCTGCAGATGGAATAACACTAAGACCTGCAGTGTGAAACGCGAGTCAGTGGGAAAAGGAAAGAGAGAAGTGTGAGATCAGAGGGCTTAGGGTCTCCAGGGCCACGGGAAGGGGGAAGGCAGAGGCTGCTCTGGAATCTCAGAGCCTCTGTAGAACTTCAAAATTCGAGCAGTCTTTCATTCATTCGACAAATATTTACTGGGCCCTGACTACATACAGGTCCTGTGCTGGATTCCGGGTAAATAAAGGAGACAACAGTGTGGCTCTTATTCTCAAGAAGTTGGCACTCTGGC